AAACCCTAACTACTTTTACTTTTCGTTATTAGTACCCTACCGTAAAACTTAACTAATAAATAATAGACTATATACTACTCTCTCTCTCTACCTACCCTCCTCCTTCTTCCTCCTTCTTCTCTTTACTTTCTCTCTCCTCTCTCTCTCTCTCTCTCTCTCTCCTTCGTCCACTCCTCCTCTCTCTCTCTCTCTGTCAGTTTTTTTACGCTTCCCCCTCTCCCTCTCTTTCTCTCTCTACCTGTCATCTCTCTCTTTCTCTACCCACCATTGTTGCCTGAATCCCCAACAGAAAAGGGGGTTTGGTTGGAAATGTCACCCGAGGAGTTGTTTTTGGCTGAAACATGGGCAGGGTGGCTGGAAACAATGCGTTTCCGGCGAGGCAGGCAGCCGGAATTCTCAGCGTCCTTTCTCTCACACACTAACGCAATCTCCCTCTCTCTAAACCGCTCTCTTCCAAATTCTCAGCATCCCTTTTTCTCTCCTCTTATTTAGAGAGCTCTAAAACCTCATACATGGCATACTCAGCTACTCCTTAGCAAAAGCCAACTGTTATTTCAGCCCCAAACAGAGCTTTCTCCTTTTGGATCCCTGTTGTTTTCAATATCATGGGTGGGTTCAATGAGGGAAACCCATAAAGAAAACCATTAAGAAAGGGTCATTCTGATAAACCCATTTCAGCAAGCCTTGATAATTCAAGGGAGCAGCTTGATTCATATTTCCAGAGTTTGGCTGACAATGAACTGGACAAGTATGGGAGCTCCCCTGCTTAAAAGCCTTGGTCGAGGCCATGACGACTTTCAAAATTTCAGAAAGTGGGTTGGTTTGCTCCATTTGTTTGGAGGATTTTGAAGTTGGGGTTGAGGCTAGAGAGATGCCATGTCTGCGTAAGTACCACATTCTTTCATGGTTGAAGCTCCACAGCACTTGCCCTGTTTGCATGTATCAGATGCCTATTGAGGAGGAGAGAGAGAAAGGCTCTGGCGGTGTAGAGGGAGAGGGAGGCGGTGAAGGAGATTCTAGAGAGAGAAGGGGTGCTTATGGTGAGGCAGAGAGAGAAGGTGATGGTGGGAATTTTAGAGAGAGGAGGGTTTGGATTAATTTTCCATGGTTGGTTTCTATTTCGGAGAACATGGCATCAGAAAACAGGGAATCAGGGGAGAGGGTGGTAGAGAGAAGGCGGTAGTGAGAGAGGTAGAGAGAGAAAATGAGAGTGGGTGAGTAGAGAGAAAGGGAGGACGGGTGGAGAGAGGTAGAGAGAGAAAGTGATAGAGTGGGCGAATAGAGAGAGAAAGAAAGAGAGGAAGTGTTGCCACGTCATTATAAGGGGCAAGAGAGGAAAAGGGTATTTTTGTCAAAAAATTCATTGACTTTTTAACTCGGTGGTAAATACAAGAAAAAATGGTATTGGGGTTTAGAGTGTGATTCAAAAAGTATTGGGAGTTAAGATGTCTAGAAAATTGATTTTGGGGGAGGTATCTATAATTTTCCCTAATTTATTTGCCTGCATTGATCACACAGGTGGTATAGAAAATTGATATTTCACAACAGTTCCTAGGACTTTTGGCTTTTACTCTCACATGTCTTGTAATTTAAGGGAAAGCATATTATAATCCCAATGACCAAATATATATATATATATATATATATATATATATAGGAAATCTACGGTCATGAGTGTCAATTCCATGATGCCATCCGATCGATGGATTGGAAACTCATGGACTATGGGACCTGCAACATGACTTTGATGATTTGTCCCTCTTTGTCATCACCACCCAACCCATGGACTAGATGGTGATGAGCCTCATGACCATGGATTTCCTACGGTCACGACTCATGAGCATGATAGAGGTTAGGCATGGGGCTCTTGGCTCAGTGGTTAGGGTCGTGAAAAAGCAATGTAACATCAATGTCTGTAAAACTGAATAGACCCAAGCACCATTTTGATATTTCAAGATTTGATACTATTCTTGAGACCACCTTCATGATCCAGTGCAAGTGTTCTAGCTTATCCTATCATCTTTCCGGAAAAAATCCAACAATCAACAAATAAAAACTTACCAAAAGACCAATATGGCATTGGTGCCGGGCGCCCAACCAGCTCTGTGTATTGCTGGACCACATTTTCTGGCAAAGGTCCAGCAAAAAAGTAGAAGTCCAAAACCCCACCCACCACTCTATACTTCACAAAACTCCCCCCATACTCCACATCCATCCCATTGCTATTCATCAACAACACCCCATGAGCCATTGGAGAATCTTTTCCTGTGGCTGGAAACCTGACATCCATGTAAAAGGGGTGTGATCCATAGAGGTTCAAATTTAGGTTAAAGGTCCCTATATCAGCATTCCACATAGTGAATGCATCATTTGGGACTAGCCTTAGAGTGTCCTTGGTGTGCTCTCCTAAGCCATAAAGAGCAGCATTTGTGGGAATTTGAGAGGAGATCTCTAGATATTGATCTTTGAATACTATACCGGTTCTGGAATTTGGCTCACTTGGTGAGATGTTGAAGAGGGTTTCGTTAGAGGAACGTCGAGAAATGGTGAAGGCAAAGGGGTGGTTTGAGAGGACGGTGAATTCAAGGTCGGAGTCTGGAGGGGAGAGATTGGGGATTTGCGAGGGGTAATTTGGGGGGAGTTTGATGACCTCGGGTGAGTGTGGGGGCGGGCGGGGGATGATGGAGGCCGGGATCTCCCATCGGGCATGGTCGGCATCGGTGATGCGAACACGGAGGCGTTCTGGGGTCTCAAAGCTGCAATATTGAGAGAGAGAGAGGGTTAAGTAATGGGTGGAACAGTTACAGATAAATAGGGGAGGAAAACTCACTCACTCTCCCTCACACACATAGATGGAGTCTTATTGATAGGGTACCACCATTAACTATGTAGTGGCCTTAAGATTCTCTCTTTTCCTGGAGAGAATCTTTTAGTTATGTTTGTGATTGGATTAATTTCTCTTTAAATAATGAGTTTGAAATTAACCACTTTGGAGTAGTTGGATTTTTCAACAGGTTTAAGTGAACTGATATAGTTGCCTATGTATGTGCTCTTCCTTTTTCTTTCTTTGGTCAATTTATCGACAGGAATTGAACTTTGGGACGTAGAGTTGCAGCTGTCAACAGCCTAACTAGTCAAACCCAAGCCTAATTCTATGTTTTCGCTTTTCTTCACTCAAAATTTGTGCAGATATCAAAAAATGATCTGGTTAATATCACTTTTCTTCGTCTTTTTCATTAAAATTGATCAAATGTCCTCTAATTTAACCTTTTTCTTGTCCATTTTTTACAAATTGGTCTTCTTGTAGCCGCCTCATAGATCCACACAAATTTTTGGATCAGTTAGACCTTCGGCAAGATTTTAAGTTAACAATTTGCCATTTTAATGCTCTATAACTGTGATCCACCATTTAAAAAATTTAAATTTCTTGGACCTAAAATTTAATTCTAAATTTAAGACTTTTTTCTGAATTTTTTTGCTTGATCTATTTGGATCCAAGAAATTCATTTCTACTTTTTCAATTTGAATCTAAAATTTGTTTAATTTTTTTCTGTTTCTTTTATTTTTTGGCTGGTTTTGTCGAACTGATGAACTGGTTCAAGTAAGTTCCAAGTTTAGCTCAGAACCAGTGAGTGACCGGTTTGAACAAAGGGCTGACTTCCTAAACACCCACCGAGATAAGATGTTTTTATCTCGCATGAGCATGGTTAGTCAAGAAGCCATTTCAAGCTTCTAACTTTAAAATTGAGAAAGTAATCCTCTCACTTGTTTAGGTGTGAATCCGCTTTTTAGGCTGATGGGAAAGCTCTCTTCAATGAACGAGTTTTCTTAATGCTCTCTAGAGTGTTTTTTTTTTTGGGGTAGATAGAATACAGTCCCTGCCCATAATAGAAATAGTTATTGGTTTTTAAATGCGTTAAGTGGGAATGAAAACCTAGATCAGTAGCTAGTAGGAATAGAAACTTAGATCAGTAATTGAGGCTCTAGTGGTGCTACCACCACAACCTCAACTCCATTCCCAACTCTTTAGAGTACTTTCACAAGAAAAAGGCGCGTCTTGTTCTCTCGAAATATCAGTAGCTAGTAGGAATAGAAACTTAGATCAGTAATTGAGGCTCTAGTGGTGCTACCACCACAACCTCAACTCCATTCCCAACTCTTTAGAGTACTTTCACAAGAAAAAGGCGCGTCTTGTTCTCTCGAAATATAAAAGAAAAAGGCATGCCTTTAAGCTTTTTAAATAGTTTTTAACAGTACATATACTATAACTTTTTGCACTCCATATGGTCCATTTTGGAAAAATTTTATACATATACCTAAAGTAAATTCAGTTTCATAATAATCCTCTCATTTTTCCTATGGCAGCAATAATCTTTAGAAGTATAGGGCATCCCACGCCTCCCCACCTTCCTCCCAATCCTATCTTATCTTTACCCCAATAATTGCCTCAAATAAAATATGCAATTTTTTCCCCAATCTTATCTCTCATATCCCAAAAAAAGCAAGATATGAGGAATAGGAGTTATTGTAGTAAAAATAAGGCCACGGTTTCTATGAGTCCATGTAGAAATGCGTCACCTCTTAAAAATCTACTTTTAAGATCGATTTTTGGACTTAATAGTTAAGGACATGTAATTTCTAACATGGAGATCATGAATATGAAAAAATAAATAAATTTTACAAATTAAAAACGATAATTCTATTAAGAAAACATTTGGACCTTTAGTTTCAATTATCTTTTTTGGACTACCTATTTGCATCCATCATGGATGCTTTATACCTCGAGGATTGCAAATGTAGAAATGCGGTTCCGTTGCATGAAACAATTTCCCTAAAAATACGAAACAATTTTCCTAAAAATAATTATTTGAGAGAGTTAGTGAAGTAAAAGTAAGGAAGATGAGAGATGTGAGGAAGGGGTAGGATGATACACACTTATAAAAATTAATACCCTGGAGTAGGAAAAATAAAAATGGGTTATCAAGAAATTCAAATAACATTTGAGGGACCCGTATGAAAGTTTCCTCTTCATTTTCCATCCTCCATATAAAAGAAAAGTATTTGGTTAGTCCTCGGACTCATGTGTTCCCCTAATGTTTGAGGGATTCGAAGAATTGAAATGAACAATCTAAAAATAAATACAAAATATACCATTTTTAAAGTGCAGTTAACAGCAGAAAAAAGAAATATACCTTTCTAAAGTGCAGAACTCATTTTTTTTAGTTTCGGATAGTAATTGTGTAGTTGATAGGCTTGCAAAAATTTGGAATGTATATGCACCCATCCCCAACCTCCATATAAAATTATGGTTTTATATGCCCACTGCATAGGCCTGGCCCGTTTGAATATGGGTTTAGGCTTCATTATCATCATCATCAAAACTTTTTTTCAAGTAATTGGGGTTATTTTGCTATATTAAAGGCTATACCGTTAGTGAGATCATAAGTTTCGTATATAAGAGTGCAAAACATGAAAAAGTAAGACAAGCAAAAAAAACAGTTTCTTGAGAATTAAGAACACACGAGGCTTGAAATGATGAGATGTAGGGAATAAACAAAATCTAAATTACATTTGTTGGTTCCTAATTTTTGGTTGATAAGAATAAGAGGAATAAAATTAAGTAAAAGATAATCATTTAGATTAGAAAGAAATCATAGCCATAAATGTATGAGAGAAAAAAAAAAAGGAGGAAAATCACAAAGAGTTAAAGAAAATAAGAAATTTCAAAATTAAACTAAAAAAATGTTTAAAATTTCAAACAATAGATTAAAAAAAAAGAAGTAAGGCCTTTATTGGTTTTTTTTTCCCCCTAGAAAAAATAAATGGATGCCTCTGTTCAACGAAGTAGATATTTGGTATTATTTTCCTAATATTTAATGTTGGTTTCCCAGGATATATTGGGGGAATAGGAAGGAATGTAAAGAAGAAAAAAAAAGAAAAAAGAAAAAGGAAGTCATGTTAAAATCCTAGTTGAGAGAGAAAAAGTAGATAGGCTTTTGAAAATTGGTTACAAAAATTTCAGCAATCTCAGATCAAATTACACTCACAGTGGGATGTATTTCTTAGTTGACTTGAAGGATAAGAGAGAGAGAGAGAGAGAGAGAGAGAGAGAGAGAGAGAGAGAGAGAGAGAGAGAGAGAGAGAGAGTAGTAGTAGTAGTAGTAGTACGTAGTAGTAGTAGTAGTAGTAGTACGTAGTAGTACGTAGTACGTACGTACGTACGTAGTACGTACGTACGTAGTACGT